AGTTAAGTTATTAAAAAATATAAATTAAGCGTTATTATTTTTTTTAAATACTTATATATATGATTAGGTTTATATATTTTACATATTTTGTTTACCTCCTTCTTTCGCGCCGACCATATCTTTTGCTTCAGCATGCAAAGGCTCACCCTCCGCAGGCGGCTTTCATATAACACACCTTCCAATAGGAGGATTAAGTGCATTTTCGCCTCATTGATTTATATTTTTATTGCTTGAAATTATTTTATCATTTCATTTATAGGGTTAAAACACCTGGAGGGAAGCTTGTATATATTTACATAAAAAAGCGTGGTTCCATACCAAAGTGCGGCGACTGCAAGCGAAAACTTGCTGGAATAAAAGCCACTCGCCCACGTGAACGATGTAACCTAAGTAGGAGAGTGAAAACGGTTAACAGGAAATATGGAGGTACGCAATGCCACGACTGCGTGCGAAACAGGTATAACGGTCTTTTTGCTTAATTGCCAGGATAATTCGGGCGTTTATGATGGAGGAACAGAAAGTCCTTAATCAATTAGTTAAAGAAAAAAATAAATTAGAAAAAATAGAGGCGGCTAAAGCTGCCAAACTTGAAGCCAAAAAGGTTACTTCTTAAACATTGAATAAAGCTCGTATTATGGACACCGTCTTTTTGCTTTTAGTTTCTTGCTTATTTATATCGCTAAACAATGCATCTTTATTATGAGTTTTTTGTGTGACTTTTTGGTAGCACAGAACTTTATCAACGTTTATTTGCTTCTTGTTTCTATCTTTGTCTATATATTTTCTCAACTGCTGTCCAGCCCTGTAATTACGTCCGTTATTGTTTATCCTATCTAAGTCTAATCTCTAGCTTTCGCATCTAGTGCGTCTAGCTAGCTGCTTCCATATTTCCTGATCCCTGGTTCTGCCGGCGCGTTTTCCCTTTATTACCAATGCCTAAATTTGTTGCAATACACTTCTAGGCTTCGTTGGTGTGAAGGGCGGCTTGGCTTTAAAAAATCCCTTTGTAGGTTGGTGCTGATGTTCATGTTATTCCGTGTTTCTATTTGAATTATAACGGTCCACAAATTGACGTCATCTTAAGCTAAGGAAGGATTTAGCCTGGGTTGTGGCTATACCCGTATATTAGCTCCGGGTTTATCCGGTATTAGGGTGCTGTGCGCCTAAGACATTGCCACATCACTGTAGACACTTTCAACGCAGTTCTCCGGCTTCTTGTAAGGCTTACTTGTGCCCGCCGCTTCGCCCTCCCACTCGAACAAAATTTGCCCTGGTTCATTTGATTTCTCACACTATACCTGATATAGTGTTTCTTTACTCTTGTACTGTTTTATAAATCCGTGACCTATGCAAGTACAGCCCTGTTTTGAAAATGACATTTTTTATTCTGCTCCCAGTAACTAGACTATCCTTCATCGAGCTGTCCTTTGATATGCAGTCCTCCCTGCATAGTTTCGTCTTATTCTTATTTTACTTTCGCCTTTAACACATCCCGTTTTGATAGGATAGACCAATAAGTGGCGGTGCTCGTCTCAGCATTGCGCAATTCTCATTTCAAGCTTTTACTGAACTTGACCTGCCTTGTGCTGATTCAGTACGCCTAAGTTACTCGATAATTCGGGGAAACCCCTGTTCAACTGTTTCCTCGTATCTGTGGAAATGCTGTCGCTAAGCAGAGCAATCTGATTCTCTCTTCATCTAACAAATATGTCTTCATCAGGTAATTGTTCTTTCAGTAATATAGTTTTCGTTAAGCACCATAAAATGCTGTATGAGGTGTATGCACCCTATTTCACTTAAGGTGGTGAAGGACTGGTAGTAGAATTCTACCACTACTAAGAGCAGAGCTGACTTTTCCATTGAATTTCACAGTTTTGTTCTTCCCAAAAGTTGTTCTCATCCAGGATGGATTGCAGTTCCGACCTCGCATAGGTATTATCAACACCCCCAGCGAGAGTCGAATCTTGACAATGCAGCATATGAGCTTGATACGTATATCACTCGGTCACATTGCCACGAGTGCCCTTGAGACTCAGGGAAAATGTCAATTCCAAGGAAGGTCGTGCCTTCTATACCACATTCTTTTGTTGGAATGGTTAACGTATCAATCTCACATGCTGAATTGTCATGGTCAGAATCCCGCTGGGGGTGCTGGTAAGACCTATGCGAGTTTGAAACTGCAGCCCATCCTCGATAAAAACAAGTGGGAAAAGCGAGTCTGTGAAATCTAATGAATGCATCAGCTCTACTCATGATTGTGAGAAAATTCCACTACCAGCCCTTCATCACCTTAAATGAAATAGGATGAATACAAATCATACAACTCATTGGTAGTCTCGAAACTACTTATATGAAAAATGTTTGATTCATATAGTTTTATGTCAAGCGATTGGTGTCAGCCCACTTTCGTCCTGTAAGTCACCCGACATTGGCTTTGGTCAATTGAAGCTTACTTGTTGTCTCCTTATGTCGAATTTCCATGTGTCTGACGAACCAACCGACTTACACAAGTGACCAATACTTTAGGGTTGGTTGAGGCTGTCAACTTGAGCCACTAGGACAATAAAAAGAGGTGGGGTAGTGGTGCCACAATGGTTGGATAAGGACTTGGTCAAGTCCTTTGTATCCACTCCTTGCTTCGATACTTTTTAACTGTGTCAAGGGTGTCGCATCTTACTGATAATGCCGGCAAAAAAAACGTTGCGAATTTACCAAGTCAGCGGTTCGATTGTGAGTATCATTAATCCTATGGCAGAGGGCGGAGAACTATGTACGTTCCGACTGGTTTTTCTATCAATCCGACTAAGATGCGAAAATGAGGTCCAACCCACGCAATGCTCTGCATTCTTTCCGTCGGATCATGCGTTCATGCTTAATTGATTATTGGGGATACAAAGTGTACGGCATTAATTGTTTTTTTTAATGCTTTTCTTCATTGGTGTTGAAAAAGGCGGCTAGCTTTCGCTTCGTTCTCGTTCATATAACATGGTCATCGTTCAGTAAGCTGAATAGACTATCACTATTTCTCATGCCCTACCATGGGAAAATTTCCCCAAGACCTGAAACAAGGCCATTTAGCCTACCACAAATTACCAACCTTCATTCCTGATTAACTTGGTCCGCTATCCTTACTTGGTGGTGGCCTTGACTTGGGCACAATCCAAAGTTAGCATAAGCAGCCTTCTTTGGATATTGCAGTCAGAATAGCTTGAAACTTGGCAGATATCTATTGCTCAGCTCACTACGCCACATGCGACAAATTGATTCTGTAGGGCATTCTGTCATCAAGTTTGATCACGTCAGTTCGATTAATGCGCTTGGTGGGAAGATTATTCCAATATCCCCTTGACCAATTGTCTACAGGTATTCCGAAAAGATAAATTGTATTTGGGTGGGCTATTATTCGCTTGAGTGAAGTAGTTTTGTCAAAATGACTCGTTTACTTTGGCTCATGGTCCACCCGTGGCTATCTCTAACGGTGT